ATATTTTGAGCAATTGTTCCTTGACACATTTTTCTAAATCTGATTGGTTTTTCAGTGTGTCATCACAGATCTTCTCTAGACAAACTGATTTCATGTAGTCTGCCAAACTGGATGAGTCTTTTCTCATCCCTTTATATAATTGTAAATAAAATTATTAAAAATAGTACCCTCTTACCTCTCAATGTCAGGATTCTTTTCAGGACATCTTGCCTCCAATATATTGTTGTGTAATTATTTCATCAGGTGGTTGTCGGGTTTCATTTGTAATCTCTCTGTCCATGGTTTTCTCTACAGAAATAGAAGAATTAAAAGAAAAAGTGCAGCTCGTGAGAATGTTTTGCCAGAACAGCAAATTCTTTTCGTAAATGCTGTAGAGTTACAGAGTCCTGGTTTGTCATCCAAACCTATGCTAGTTCACTCTTTTCAGAATCTGATTCTCTTGCTTTTGTATATTTTCATCGTACATGCTGAGATCCAGCTGTATAAAAATGTCTTCAGGCTCAGAGGTTCCTTTTGTAATAGAAAGAAACTTTAATTGCTGCAAGGCTGAAGATACCAGCTGTGTTCAAAAATAGATACACTGTTTTAGCAAGATATACATTAATTTCCCCAGTGGTGAAAAATGTTTTAAAAATATAAACGAAGTAGTTAGTCCCTATAGGATCAAGGAAATAATGACAAACTATTTTAATTATGTTTAGAAGTTCAGACTTTAGCGTTCTTATCATCTTATTACTTCCAGTAAGTTAGCTTCCTTTAGGTGCTTACATCCTAGGCAAATCCTAGGCAAATTCTGTGACAAGCTGTGCTTCATCTTATGCCTCTGTACTTTACATCTGGAGATTATGGAATTTAGATGCTGACTCTGACATAATTTTATAAAATTGGTGTAGTAAGATTAGCCCTTCTCTTTTGTCTACAGGTTTGATATCTGGCTGCTGTAATTACCTCGTAAGTCAGTTCTGAAAGTTTAAGAACCGGGGAAAGCGGGATGGAGTGGAGTGAGGTAGAATCTGCTCTCTTTTGTAAACTCTGGAATGATATTTATTAGGCTGTATGGAGTCTAAGCCAGAGAATTAGGGTCAGTAGCTCTCCCAGGTTTATATTCACCTATAAGTGTCGTACATACATTGATCATTTTATGCATGTTGTCAGTACTGAATAAAATTTATTAAGTAGATATTAGTTAGGAAGGGCTTTGTTTAGAATTCTTTGCATATTGTGATACCTAATGGTGGAATTTTCTAATAGTTGAGTTGACACATCTTAGATGATTTTTCTTTAATTTTATTTATTTAATTATTAAAATGTATGTTACACAGCAGTATATGACTACATCTCCAAAGAAAGTAAAGTATTTCCAGATAAGTTGATCTATCCTCAAATCTACTTCTCCAGGAAATAAAATGCATTGTTATCAGTTTGGTATATATCCTCCAGACCTGGATTTGATATTTTATATATATATATACACACACACACACACATACAGACACACACACACACACACACACACACACACAGAAAACATATGGTGTTGCTTTGTGTGTATGTGTTTTATATAAATAGTACCATACTTTGTATTGTTGATCATTTTTCAAGAAAGTTTTTCAAGGGTTTGCCAGTTTGCAGCTCTGGTTAAAAAGAGTTCCATACCACCATTTCTATCTCAGGCAAAACTGTGAAGGAGATGAAATTTTTTTCTTGGCCTCTATTATTTTGTGCATTATCTTTTTCGTCCATTTTTATTTTTCAATCCCTCCTCTCTCCTTTCTCATCCTATCACTTAGACCTTAAGGAAAGGATTCCTATCCTTCACTTTGAACGTAAGTCAGTGTATTACTTACAACACGTATATTAATTGTTAGCACCAAGTACAAAATAGAACGCTTTGTTCCAGTTAAAAGAACTTCCAGTACCAATAAGACAATGTGGAAATGTTTTAGGGAGCATGAGATTTCTTCTTTGTCCCTGAAGTCCCACCTATTAGGTACCTGCTCATTCTGTGAGGCCGTGAGCCAACTCAGCCCAAGCATATTGTGAAAGAAAATGCACAAATTTTGAACAGGGCTTACATTTGGTTATGGAACATTTGTCGGAGTTCCAGTTTATAATTTGAAATCATGGAGCTCCTCTACTCAACCAGGAGGAAGGCAGTGAGGTATTAAGAGTTCAGCATGTCCAAATGAAAAAGAGGCAGATTATTTGCTCTGAGAATATGTAACAGCATGCACCACTACAACTGTTTTTATGTGGTAGTGATGGTTGTAACATAGCTAAGAGCCCAGTGGCCCTAAACAAAGAACTTCTGTGTTCCCTACCACCAGGCTTTTGCTCCTCTGGGGTCATTTTGGACCCCAAACTTTAAAAAAATGTTCACAGCTACTTACATATACCTCTGTGGTTTTCAAATTCATGATCCTGCTGCTGTTTTCTACCTTAAGGAATGCATACCTACTTATTACATATCAGGCAAGATGCCAGCCATTTTTATATACTTTATATTTTATCAAAGATGTCAGGTTTAATAAGGCAAAGATGAGGATACCCATTTTACAGGTGAGGCCACTGACGTTCAAGGTCACCTAACTAAAGTGGTTGTTTCATAATTCAAACTGAGATGACGTTAACTGCAAAGTCTGTCTTTTCCATTAAGCCTTGCAGCTTCTTTTTATATCCCTTGTTTTCAAACAATATTGCATAGACTTTTTTATAAGCAGTCTTGCATTATATTTTGGACTCACTCTAAATTAGTGTCATTTTGGAGAAAGTTTAAAAACTAAACTATGGCGTATTCATAATTAGGTATGAATGTAATTTGCCGTGTTGGAAATTCTGCCAGCCAAAAGCCATTTAAAGTCTTGCTGATAGAAGTTTTCTTTTCACTAAGAGCATCTGCTAGCTAAAATAATGACCAAAAGGGAGAAGCCACTCGAATAATCAAGTCTGTTCACTGACTAAACTTGTTTCTCTGTTCCCAAATTCTTAGATTAATGAAGACCCTGAGTTGTTTTGAGGGATTACACAAAGTATTCCTCTGTGTCTAGCAATGTCCTCCCAGTGTTCTCAAGAGGAATTAGAATTTTCCCTGGCAGTCCAGTTATCTGACACTTTTTTTGTTTTTAATGTAATGGACTTGTGGTTTAGCATTTCACTGCCTTTTTGTGGTTGCAGAATTAATTGAACTACTTAAAAGTACTTCCCTGCTAAGATACCATATTTACATCAGGTGTAATTTGTGTATACATTTTACATTGCCTCGAGTGAAAACACAGGTGTCCTAGAATGACCTGTTTTTGTGTTTGTATTCTTAACCGATATGTTTACTCTATATTGATATTTGAACTCATCAAAGCAAAATTTATTATTCTAAATAAGATTGATAGTTTGGTCTTTCATTTCTTGTCACAGCTCTAAGCATTTTGCTTTGGGAAGAGAATACTATTTTGAGTCTAACAAAATATCTTAAGATTATTGAATATATTTATGCTTAGCAAACTTTAACTAATCAGGAAGCTTATTTGAAAATCAACTTATTCTTTTGAATTTTGAGTTAATAATTTAGGTATTTCATAAAGTGAGATGCCTCTGTTTGTAAATGTGATTTATGTTATTTAAATAGTGAAGCTCTGTTACTGAGTTTTGGGAACGATGTTTTGACATGGTGCGAGATGTACCACTGATTTGCTAAGACCTTGTACGTATTTTTGTTTTATCCACTGAAACCATTGCTCAGGTATTTGTGAAATGGCTTAGGGATAGCATTCAGAAATGCATTTGTGGAAGTCTCACCTCACACTAGTCAGAATGGCCATCATCAGAAAGTCTACAAGGAACAAATGCTGGAGAGGGTGTGGAGAAAAGGGAATCTTCCTACACTGTTGGTGGGAATATAAATTGATGCAGCCACTACGGAAAACAGTATCGAGGTTCCTTAAACTAAAAATAGAGCTACCACATGATCCAGCAATCCCACTCCTGGACATGTATCCAGAAAAGAAACTAATTCAAAAAGATATATGCACCCCAATGTTTATAGGAGCACTATTTACAATAGCCAAGACATGGAAACAACCCAAGTGCCCATCAACAGACAATTGGTTTAAGAAGATGTAGTATATATACAATGGAATATTACTCGACCATAAAAAAGATTGAAATGTTGCCATTTGCAGCAGCATGGATGGACCTAGAGAATATCATACTAAGTGGCGTAAGTCATAGAAAGACAAATATATGATATTACTTATATGTGGAATCTAAAAAATAATACAAATGAATCTATATACAAAACAAACTCACAGATAGAAAACAAACTTATGGTTACCAAAGAGGGAAAGGGAGGAGGGGGAGAGATAAATTAGGAGTATGGAGTTAACAGGTACATACTACTATACATAAAATAGATACGCAGTAAGGATTTACTGTGTAACACAGGGAACTATAGTTACTATCTTGTAATAACCTGTAATGGAAAATCTGAAAATATATGTAACTGAATCACTTTGCTGTACACCTGTAATGGAAAATCTGAAAATATATGTAACTGAATCACTTTGCTGTACACCTGAAACTAACAATATTGTAAATCACCTATACTTCAATTAAAAAATCAAATTAAAAGAATATCCTTTTTGAAAAAAAAAAGAAATGCATTTGTGGCTGATGTTTCAGCAATACAGGCAAGACTTTCTGTGTCTGTGAATTTCTTAGATTGGAAGGATCTTCTAAATAATGTTCTCAGTTCAGTGATTCAAATTTTAGACAACAAAATTCTGTGAAGCCACTGGCAATATCATTAAGTCTACCACTACCTTTATAGTCAGTCTTATTGCATGTTTCAGTTAAGTCCACCGGTCTGAAATATAAGCCAATTTCTGGTTATTTCCCCCCACCAAAGAATGTTGTTCTGCTTGAAGCATTGTCACAAGAGCTTAAATTCTTCCATGCCTAGAAATGTCAATTTACATTGACATTTTTATTTTTGTTGTTGTTTTTAGAGCATCAGGGCATCGGGCCTTATCCTGTTGGAAACAATCCTTTTTGGGTCTCTGCTTCTCTACTTTCCGGTAAGCAACGTTTTTATAATTGCATGTTTAAAATAGCCATTTTATTTTGCTATATACGTATACTATATTATATATACTATATACTATATGTATATATGCTTATATATATTTCTATATCTGTATGCAAGTTTGTATACCTGTATCTATATTGTATAAAATGTAGATGTAGATATATGGTAGATATATAAACAAGGGCTTTACAGATATTTAAATCCTGGCTCTTACCTATTGGGTGACCTTAGACAAGCTGGTTAGCATTTCTAAACTAACCTTGGTTTCCTCTCGTAAAATGGAGCTAATTATTCTTTTCTTCCCAAATTTGTGAGAAGTGTTAACTGCTTAAGTGAGCTCACATATGAAAGGCATGCTTGGTATGTACATATAAACACTGGCTTCCTTCTTCTTCCCCCTCTACCTGAATCAGAACCATGAGACACACCAAGTAGTTAATGCTGAAAATTTCCAAATGGTCACATAGACAAATAACCAGAATAAATGTGTGTGTGGTACTAGTGGTGTGGAGAATCATAACAGACCTTCCTATCCCACTAGTTACATATCTGTAACCAGAAGATAAGTACTGATTCTACTAATTCAATTCAACCACTTGTATTCAGCAGTTCTTCTGTGTTAAGCACTTTGCTAATCTGGGAGTACTCTGTAAGTGAGAGAAACTTGCTTTCTCTTCTCAAGAAGGTTACAGCTTAGAAGAGGAGATGAGGAAGTACAGGTAATTATAATATAATGTGACAAAAGTTAGGAAGAGTAGAAGAGCAGGATGCTGTGGAGGCACTTAGGAGAGACGCCTAACCAAGTCTGGGGAATAAAATACCACTTGACGAAGATCTGAAAGATGAATAGATGTTAGAGAAGGAAAAGGTAGGCCCTCCAGGGCACCACATTCTTTTTGGTTTTCCCCTTACCTCACTAACTGCTCCATTTCAGCCTTCTTTGCTGATTCTTAATCTTCTTTCCCACTTTTTATTACTTGAGTGTCTCAGGACTAGTCCTTGTAGCTTTGCTTAGTCTACATTCTCCCTTGGGATCTCGTCTAGCCTCAGAAGCTTTAAATGTTGTTGAATTGACAATGACTCCTTACTTTATATCTCCAGCCTAGACTTTTCCCCCAAGCTGCAAACTCACTTTCAACTGCTTACCTGACAACTCCATTGGAAGGTCCAGTAGAATTCCCTGTCATGTTCCTAACTGAGATACTGACCTCCCAAAGTCAGCCCGTCTCTCTGTCTCCGTTGACGGCGACTGCAGCCTTCTGGTTACTCAGGCCGCACACCTGGGAGTCATCCTTAACAACTCTCTTTCTCTCACATCCATCAGAAAACCATTCAAAACATAGCAAAGATCCAGCCACTCCCCACCAGTTCACTGTTACTGCCCTAGCCTAAACCACAGTCACTGTCTTCTGAGTTATTGCCGCGTTCTCTTCCTCCATGCTTACCCCCTACGACCTATCTTCAAAATATCAACCAGTTTGAATGCCAAAGTTAGACCATGGCATTCCTCTCCTCAAAACTCTGAAAACGTTTCTCATTTTACTTACGGTAAAAGCCAGAATCCTTAGGATGGCCTTCAAGGCCCGACATGATTTGGATCCTGCGCCTGCATTACTTCATTTTCTGATCATCTTTCCTGACTCACTGTTTACAAGCGTTCTTAATCTACCCAGGTTTTCTACTTCTTGAATTACATTTTATATTTCTCCTTAAGATAGAAATGTATTTAGGTATAATCGTTTTTATTTTTCCATACAATTATCCATATTACTTAAGTTTTCTAATTTACTAGCATAGAGTTATACGCAGTAATTAATAATAGAAGCAGTATAATAATACAAAGACTGTTTATCATGCCTGGTACTGTTCCTGTATAAATGGCATGTTGTACATTGTAACATTTAATCTTCCTGGTTGAACTACCAGGCAGGTATTTAACCAAAGTCATAGAATCACCCAGTTACAACGTGAAAGCCTGAAATGACTTCAGTAATCTGAGTAATAATCTTAATCATCTGAACATCTTCTCTTGCTCTGCCATCATCTTTTTCGTGAACCTCTGCTATTTTAAAATATATTTTCTACCCAGTAGCCAGAGGGGTATTTTAAAATATCAAATATAACCTCTCACCACTTCTATACCTTCTCAGTGTTCTTAGAATAAAGATCAAAACCCTGACATGGTTTATGTTATGTAAGTGTGGTCCTTACCCCACCCTTTCCCCCCAGCCTCATCCAATACTACTTTTCTCCTCACTTTCTGCATCTACCTACCCTGACCTTCTTTCAGTTTTTAAATGAAACAGGATCTCTCTCATGGTAGGTATAATAATGACTCCCCAGAGATGTCCACAGTCCTAGTTCCTGGAACCTGTGAATACGTTACCTTATATGGAAAAGGGAACTTGGCAGATGTGATTAAATTAAGGACCTCAAAATAAGGAGATTATTCTGGATTATCTGAATGGCCCAAGTTTCCTAAGTGAAAAAGAGAAACAGAAAAGAGAGAGTCAGAGAGACAGCATCATGAAAAATATTGGACTGGCTACTGCTGGCTTTGAAGATGGAGGAAGGGGCCACAAGCCAAGGAATGCAGGCGCCTCTAGGAGCTGGAAATGGCGAGGGAACAGACTCTCCCCTTGATTTTAGTTCCATAAGACCCATCTTGGACTTCTTACTTCCAGAACTGTAAGATAATAAATCTGTGCTATTTTAAGCCACTAAATTTGTGCTATATTACAGCAGCAACAGGAAACTAATGTGCCTCTTCTCATAGGACCTTTTTGCATGCTTTGCTTCAGTTTTGAAGAATCCTCCTCTCTTCTTTCCCCCCGTTCCCATCTCACCAATTCTTCTGCCTATTAACAACTAGTCATCCTTTAGATTTCTACTTAAATATCACTTTTTCAGGAAAGCTTTCCTTGACCGCAAACTAAGTTAAATTCCTTATAATAACTTCTCATGGAATCCCTTTCTTAACCACACCTATCTCTAAGTATACATTCAAAAGTGCAATTATTTGGTTAGTGTCACTCTCCCACACAGACTCTAGTTCAGGGAGAGCAATGGCCTGTTTCTGTGTGGCTCACTATTGTACCTGCAGCACTTAGCCCAGTACCTGTCACCATAGTTGAAGCACAGTAAATATGCAGTGAATGAATGAATGAGGTTATATTTGGATGCATTTAGAACTGTATCCTAAACTAGTGGCTATTGTCCTATTGAAATAGCCTCCAAAGAATCTGCTTGATTGTGGAAGACCAAGAATGATAGTCCTATTCATACTACTTTATTTAGTGCCTACAGCTAGGCATTAAAACACTTTTAAATGTTATTTTTAGGTGTTATCAAATTTGGGTTTATTTTTTACTTTTTCAAATCAAGTGGCCATAATAAGGAGCATGGCCTAAAAGCTATAGAATTTTAAAGCCTCATAAACAGAAGAAGTATTCTAGAAAAGAAGGACGTTTGAAAGAATAGTAAATGTTAGGCTGCTAAATGTTCAAAGCAGTTATTAGAGACCCTTTCATTGACTGCGATCCAGTCTTGAAAGTCACCTAATGGACCTATACTTGTGATGATATCAAGTACAAAGAAAAAGAGGAGAGAGAAATGGAAATTTAAAAAGAATAAAAGACAACACTTCTGCTTGACAATTCTATTGTGCCTGGGAGGAAAAGAACAGAAAAGAAGACTTACCAAACCAGTTCTGTCCAACAGGAACATAAGGATGCCTCATCATGTTGACTTCATGTTTAACTAGCTGTCTAGTTCGTCTTTCATAACAGAAATTCTTTCTGCAACTGCTTGAAATATTAATGTGTAGCTCTCAATTTCATGCCGCATACCTTGGTTTTTAAATAAGTTAGTGTTCATGCTCTGATGGCAGAAAGGGCCAAATTATTTAATGAAGATTTGGATGTAGCATAAGATACAGGAGGAGAAAAGACATTAAAATATATTATTGATTGAGTATGGAAAGGGAAGTAATTTTATTTTAGGTGAGAGAATGGAAGATGATGTCTCAGAAATTGATAATAAAATCTTTGGCTACATAGGGAATGTTTATGCACATGGGTGTATGTGCATAGAGCATTCTTGACAAGAAGAATAGCTTGGTCATTAGACCAGAGCTCATTGGCTTCCTTGGGTGTTGCAGAGTGAAGTTTATGACTTTGGGCTAGAGTTTTTGCTATAAGGAGGACCTGTATAATAAATGATAAAGGTGATTAAGTAAACCTAATATAGCCAAATGATCTAATTATTTGATGGTGTAAATGTGACCTGTATTTATCTGTTAAATATTAATATCTTACTACTTTCTCTGTTCCTTGTGTGGCCTGTACCGGAATTGCTCATAAAACTTTTACTTGGGGTTGCAGTTTTTTTAAACAGTGTTCTTGAGCAAAGTAGAATTGTTTTTCGGGCTGGGTAACTCCATGGAAGGACGCTTCGAGGAGATTCACTGTTATACTGAGTTGTTATGCAGTGAGCCTTTTCTTCTTTTTATGCCGCATATTGTTGTACAGATTTGCAAGAATTAAGGTTATTTTTGCCTTTTCTAAGCAATCTTAGACTACAGACGATTTCATAACAATGCTTATATTGGAAAGTCCAAATTAGAGATTATCATCATTGTCTAGATAAGGACAAACCGAAATCTGACTAAATTTAGCATTGTTATAATTGGGTAGCAGAGAGCTGAAGCTTTTAAAACATTTTCTTACAGATTCTCAAAAGAGACTCATGATTTGAAGTCCACACATTTGTGAACAAACGATTAGTCCTCATAATCACCTAAAACAACTTTCATACAATTTATAAAAGAAAGAAAAAAAGAGCTTTAAAAAAATCAACTAAAGTATATTTTTCTTGCTAAATCACATAAAACGACATATTATGGATTAATAAAACATATTAAGTAATATGGAGTCTAGAAGTTTATTTCTAGCTTGACCAAACCACCGGTTTCAGCTAATAAAGTAAATT